AACTTATATGCACTATTCAATACAATCAATAAACAATATTTTATTTCATATGTGTTATAAACCATAAGAATATAAAAGTATAAAAATTATAAGAATATAGGAATAAAAGAATATAAGAGTTATAAGATTTAAAAAGCTCTTTAAATAATTGTGAGTCGGAAATGTGGACTCTCTTCTATCATCACCTTAGTATTTATGTAAAATTTTCTCACCTTAGTATTTATGTAAAATTTTCTCACCTTAGTATTTATGTAAAATTTTCTCACTATTCATTGTAACTTAACAATATCACATACAATATTTTGAATCTCTCCGTAACCTTCTAAGTATATTTCATAGAGAAAATTCTTTACTTTCTCTTACACACATTCACTAATATAAACTGTATCACACTACTTATTTTAGAACACATCTCTCTGAGAAATCTCTGCTTGATCAAATCACAGATGTTCAGGGATGCTAATAAGAAAACAATAAGATGTGTACATATCAAACTAAACACGTTTGTCCTCTTAATGTTTCAAGACATATACAAAATTATAATGATTGTATTCTCCTTTATCCACTGTACAATATCCAAAAATGAGCTTCAAGTGATTAAATTAATTTTAAATTTAGATAAGGAGAAAATTTCAAGAATAGTGAATCCTGATATATGGCCGGTATATCAGAACACACAATTTCAAAATAAAAAAAAAATTAAATGACGTGCAATAAGGTTACTGCTGAATAAAATAATTAACAAAACAATAAAATTCAGTGGAGAAAAAGAATGCAACGTGATTTTACTTTTGTTTCTTATAAAAATCAGTATCACTAGTATTAGTACATTAGTCAATTTTCTAAAAACTTAGTTTATATTTTTCAACTTTAAAACACAAATTTCTATCATAAATTTTAACCCATTCGACATCTTAAGATAAAATTATGAAAAGTATATTAAAATTTCTCAAAATTTTGTAGGACGAAATCTGTACACTTTATTTTCTCAGTTAAAATATAAAGAATATCTGATTTATAACACAACTATGTTATAAAAATTAAATATAATACATTCTTCTTCTTCTTAAAGTTCTGTTCAGCAAAAATCAGTCATTTCAATGTTACTAAAGAAAAGTATTTATTTCACTGATCTCTATTCCGTAATGGCAGAAACCCTTGGTGAACGGTAATCCAGCTGTTGTTGTCAATTGTGATTTGCACTAGTAAAATTATATTTATTTACTTTTCTTTCGATGTTGGTACTTCACTATTATTCGATGGTGTTCAAATTCACAATATTACCATGTAGACTTTCCGGAGAAGAATTTTTTTTTGTCGGAAGGAATTATGTCTGTCTTCACAGGGATAGGGGATTTACTATTCTCTCTTCTTTTTTTTTTTTTTTTTTTTTTTTCGCCATTAGAACGTTGTTTCTTTCACTCGCGACAAACTGGTGGGCCTCTTCAACAAAGGCAGAAATATTTTTCGGCGGTAAAGAGCGGTGTTCTTCCTGGGGTTACGAGCATGTTTTTGAATTTCGGCAACCTGATGTCTTCACCAAAGTCTTCCGAGCGCCGTCAGTGTTCCGTCAAATTCTCCGTAGCATTTATTACAGTCGCGCGTTGGCGTTCGTTTTAATTTTAAGATGATTTGAAGAATACATTTAAGTTTAAATTCTGAAATGCGTTTTCAGGAATCCTGCCGGCTTTATTTCTGACATGATTTTTAGAAACAGAAACAGACTTAGTTTTAAAAAAAAGGTCTTTATTTGATCAAAGTTAAACATCATCTGACGCAAGAGACAGAGAGAGATAAAAAGGATGCCACCGAATATCTTAAGTGGATTAAACACTTAAAACACCGATCACGGCGTTCATGAGTGCTCTTGAAAGTTTATGCTGACATATAGGGCTATTTAATATAACGATCCGGAATTAGACATGTTTATTGGCTAGGCCATATGTTCGGAAGAAATAAATGGGTGGTTAATTTGATACTTGAAAGGTAAGGAGAAAATATAAAAGTGAATTGCTAGATAGGGAATTAAATTTTTAATCTAATTTAATTATCCTTACATATATATATATATATATATATATATATATATATATATATATATATATATGCGCATGTGTTGGTGTAACATCCTGATCCATCACGTGACAGCGGACGGGCGAGTGGCAGACCCGTATTGCAACCCACCTAGAAGAGGTAGCCGCAGGTTAAGTAAAATTCACACTGATGTGCTAGCGAAGAGCCCACTCGCACGCTTTTCGCAAATTGATCCTTGAAGCCCATGTAGGAAGAATCCAGTCCGTATACAGTGACAGGAATCATGTATACAGTGCGTGCTGGCACTTACTTTTTTTTTTAATAAATATCCTCTTAAAGCACGTTTCTCAAAACGTGGGACGCGAACTCTTAGGGGTGTGTGATAACTCTACGAGGGGGGGGGGCTGCGAGCACATTGAAAAGACGGAAACAAAGGGTTATTTTTTTAAAAAAATATTGATTTACTGAAAGTAAAAGAATAAAATACATTTTAACATTATAAGAAATAAATACACATCTGAACTGATATAATACACTTATAATATATTTTTTAATTAATTTATCAATACTATGTTAAGAACAAGTTTAATAATTAGAGCTGACCCCATGGGCTTGTCATGTATAAATTACATACAAAAATTAACACTTACCTTGATAATTTTTGTACAACTTATAATTAATCATTTAACTGCCGATTAAAAGATACGCGATTCGCTCCCCAATGCCATCGTTTTCTACGTTGGCGTGCGTATGTGATGCATTGGGAGGAGGAAGAAAAGGAATAAATAAACAAATATCCTTCGCAAACACTGTCAAGGTCTTTTTATTGCATTCCAAAGCCTTCGAAATAAGTTTATGTATAACAGTATACAGAAAAGATGATATTTTGGAAAACGTATATATACCTAATAGGCAATTAACGCTTTGGCTGAACGAGACGTTTATATACTCCCATGGTACTAAGAGGTTTAAGTCATATTTTAGCTTTAGCATCTAAGTATAGTACTATTGAATTCGCACAATACATTGTTATTGCCTGGAAGGGGGAGGCGATGAAAATTATGATTGAATATTGGGTCCCAAATATTGAAAGTTTGAGAATGACTGTATTAAAGCATTTTTAATTAAATATATTTTATACATTTTTTCCAATGTGAGTCCCTTCTCCTTTTATGTTAATTTACATATATATATATGAGAAAAGCGACTTACTCTCTCATTACAAGATCTCCCAAACTGACTCACAGACATTAAATTAGGAAATCAGCTTTTTTTTTTTTTTTTTTTTTTTTGAGTAGTGATCCACTAAAATCGAGTTTTACGAAAACCGTCTTTTGAACAGAGGGTAGATAAAAGAGACCCTGCTTTGGAGTATTTATCTACCGAGTTGAAGTTTGGTGCATATTGCTTATTTAATGAATAGAGATTCATTAGAAATGAGTTTTATTGAAACTGACTCTCACGGTGGTTATTGTCACGAGTTCGAGCCCAGTACCACTAAAGACCCGCCGTGTAGGGCAGCGATGCACGTTAAATCTGTCGAGAGCTGAAACGTCCTCCCGTTGGTGTTGTGTGGTAGTTAGGAGAGGGGGTGCCAGCTCAGGTGTCGTCCACGTCACTTGACCATGGTTCAAAATTACGTGGTCCGTCGCCAAAAGCCCTCGTGTAGCTGAACAGTGCGACGTTAATATTCAATCAATCAATCTCACGGTGGCTAAGGGGGTGCTAAGATAGATGTTCCCATTTTTCATTTATTAGACCTAAAGGCTTGAAATTTATTATGCATGTTTCTTTTGTTGAGTAGAGATCTGCTAAGCACTTATTTTGCGGGAATTACTCCCAAGGGTTGTTGCAAGGGTCTTGAACTTTGATATACGTATTTCTTTGTTGGATAAAGATCCATGAAAGACTGATTTTATAAAAAGGGGGTTGAATGGAATGTTTCGTCTGCATAAAGATAAAACAAGTAATATATAAAAATAAATTAAATCAATTCCTACTATTTCAACAAAGAAAAAAATTATTTTAGTTACATTTTATTAAATAGTTACAATTAATATAAGTATGCATATACATATGACAGAATCACACTATTAATTGACAAAATAGAAAGCGATTTTCCCTTTTCCTTTCTATATATGGTGTTAGACTAATTTTTTGTTTGATACTGTTTATTTAATAAGTAAATTTAATTATTCTAATATGATAGTTTTGTTAAAAAGCAATCAGATTCTCAGAAATTGGGCCATCCCAGATAGGATTTGAACCCACGACCTTTGGATTAAAAGTCTAATGAGCAATGCATTGCACTACTGGGACACAAGAAATGAATTTCCTTTTTATTTATACTATTGGATTATTATTTTGTTTGTTACCATTTATTCCTTTTTTTAAATTCAGTTAATGAATCAATATTTGAAGAGAGAGAGAGAGAGAGAGAGAAAACTGTATTAACATGAAGTTTCATCCACTACAAGTTTTAAAAAAA